TTGTATGTTTTCTGTTCATTTTGAAAGCCTTAGTCCTCAGGAAGGGAAGGTGGAGGAGGAAAAAAAAAGGCCAAACCTCATTACATCATAACATGAGAAAAATCAAAGTCACTCAAAGAGATTTAATAAAATTAGGAGTTGAAAAGTGTTCAAATTACTTTTCCAATTCAAGTCAATTATTTCAAGTATATTAAAATGTTTCAGAGGAAAAATTTCTCCATGGTTACAATTCTAATTGCTTTTATAAATCCATAAAAAAGGTAGTCTCTACATATATCCCATATTCCTCCGATGCATGCACACATTCTCTCTGAAGAAAAAAGTCATCACGATCCAGTTGTTTCTTAACACTGATTTCAGGCACATCTTCCAAACGCCCTCCAGTTTTCACCAAAAAGTTTAATCACTGGGCATAAAAGCAGCAATTTTTTGTTGCTGTTGTCTACATGGGTATGAGCAGGTTTCAGTTATTAAAGAACTTGACGCAGATTCTGCAAAAAGTTCCCATGTCACTCCAAAATCTAATGGTTCCTTCTTCTCTTAGGCAGCTTTTGCAATCAGATCTATTTAGAAGAATCTTACACAATCCAGATAAATCTTTTCGATCATACAAAAAACAAGTTGGTTGAATGTACCTGGCAAGTTTGTCTCTACAACTGTAATTTTTTTTTAAATCTTTTTTTAATAGCTTTAAAGTGCCCTAGTATATTCATTTCTTTATGCTTATTTAAACTTCCACAAATACATAAAAAGGGGACACTCAGTGCGATTACTGTGTTTTGAGAAACAGAGGAAAAGGAGAGGAAAATCAGAAAACTCATTTTAAAGCATCTAGTTAGTGTCCGTTTGCTGAGTTTGTGCAGCAGAGACTGCTTTCCAGAGGGGTTTATGATAAACCCAGCCATCTCCCTGCAATTTAAAGAGAAAATATGGTTATAATAAAGACACTGCCCCAGGAGAATTCCCTTCACGTAACTGTTAGACTGATAGCTGTGAAAACGGGAGGGACATAGCTTATACCTTTGACCCTCACAGATTAAGACACAGAGATCAATGCTACAGGCTTCCGAGACTACTGCAGAACACGTGTGGACTCTTGTCGAGCCACAGCACTCTCTGGGAATCAACTGCACTTGTAATTAGCCCAGATGGAAAGCCATGCTTTTCAACTCCATTTCAGAAAGCCAAACAAGAAGTCAGCAGAGAGGCAACTATCCAGGACGATCAGCTCTAACACAGCCCAACTACTTACCTAGAAATGAAGCAGCTCAGGATTATGTTTAAACGTTTTCTGAATAGATCTGTATCTCAGGTTAGCAACAGAATTTCACTTCTTCTAAATCTAGATACTAACAGTCCAAATATCTAAGTCTACTAACATAGCTTCAGAGAACAAAAACCTTTATTGCAGCTAACAGAGTCCTGAACTGTAAAATATAAAACTGGAATAAACCCAAGGAAAAACTTTTTAGCCTATGCTTTAAATCCTTGCTAGATCACAGATATGGGAATAAGAAGGGGGAGTTACATTAGTGCACTGTAACAGATCAAGCTTTCACTACAAGGAGAATCTAAACTACTACAGCATAAGTTTTAGTTGAGTCCTCCCCTCTTGCAAGAGGCTCAGCAAAGCTCTCTACACAAGCAGGGTCTCATCATCTGGATCACAAGGAAAGACTATTTCAAGGTTATCATATCAGCAGCCCCCAGTCTTCCTGGGTAGGCTGCAGTTCACCTTGTTAAAAATCTTACTATGTTATTATTACTACCATTACTGAAATACAGGTTAAGCCATTGAACAAATAAGCTCCATCCAAAATAAAACATACAAGAAAAGGTTTTAAGTTGAGAATGGACTCATGTTCCTTCTTGCCAATATCTTGGGTTCATATGTACAAAACAAGAAAAATTAGTAATACTGATTGTTTTCTTTAGGTATTTATTGTTACAGTCTATTTACATGTGTACATGTAAAGTTCTTTTCCATGTGTCATGAGGAAGTGCCTATTAAGAGAAACTGGACTACAAAACAGGCAAACATTTTGTTGCAAGGGAATTGCAAAAATCAAAGTGTCTGGGAAGTGAAGGGTGAAGTCATACCTTTACATGTTTGGGAGTGCTCACCTTACTCTGAAGCTAAACTGTAAGATCTAAGGACAAATATTCTGACAGGACATGGACCCATATGTGCACCTACTTTAACTATAGCTCTGCCTTTGTCAACAGCTAGCTGCTTGGGAACTTACTTCTTTAAGGAAGTATTTAGTACACCAAGGTGTTTCTGTTTCAGCACGAAGCCTCTCTTCATTCCTCTGTCGTTCTTCAAGGGCTCGTTTGTGCTCTGTAGCCTTATCGATGTCTCCATCCCGCAGAGACTCTGTTACATGCTGCCACAGCCTCCTACAAAACCAATTGTTAACTTTACTTCTCAGCCTGCCACCTCAAACTACAGGATTGCCACATGCAGTTCTTTCTGGACAGAAGCACTCCCTCCACTTACACAAGACAAACCAACCCAGGTCAGAGCACAATGGTGCAGTGCATGTGGAAGGGCTCACGGCCAAGTCTCACAGCTACGCTAGCAATTAGGAGTGGATCCTCGTGGCTCCGAGGCTTTGGCTGTGCCAATCTAATGTCTGTTTATATATCCTTTAAAGTTGCTATGGAAGTGTTGT